GTAAATGAAATTATAATATTTACAACCCTCCAAAGATCTATATATTTTTAATAAATTTTAAAGTTTTTTCGGCAAATAATGAAAAGTTGTGTTTCCAAAACTGATATGAATAACTCACCTGACAGAATTACCAAATTTACAGTACATTTACACTTATAGAATTAATTTGATGATGGTGTTAGAAAATACGACATTTCCCATACAAAATCTATACACAAATATGCTGATGGGTTCCTTCGTTTTTGTACTGACGCTTCGAATTTGTTTTGTTGCTTTCTTATAAGTTTTTAATATAACAGAGTACGATTAATCCTAGATCATATCGAGTCGATAAAAGTTTTGAAGTAAATTTTCCTATTATAGATTAGCAAGTAATCATCACTTTGTTACTCCGTCTGAAATATGTTTGAATATTGGAACCTGAAACCCAAAAAGTTGGTGTCCCAACATATGGTGATTAGTGCAGTAGACAAACAGACAGGTATACTTAGCTAAATATACAGTGGTGCATCTGTAGATACCGTAAGGAAATGGAGCTCTCACAAGAAATCCCAATAAATAAAACTAAATCCATTTGTTCTCTACGAATCTGCTGGTTATTTAAATCCCTTCCTATTTCATAATTTAAAGTTAACCAGCTATTGAAAATAATTAATGAAAAATAAATGTTTAAAAAACTTCTGTGCATAAATTCCTATATTCCAGTATACACGTATATAAGTACTCAGTATCTGCTCTTATTTTATGAAAACCAGGTAATGATATCATATATGTTGCATGTGACATTTACCTATTATTAACTATTATTGAGAAAATAAGGATCTAAAATTTTTTTGTAGATATATGGTATCTTAAAAATATTTATCTTAGTGAGTGAGTACTGCGCAATCAACATTTATTGTAGTGGTACCAACTAATCATAGTACCATTTGTACCAGTAACGTTACATGTCACTGTGAAAGTCTCCTCAGACTCAGACTACGGCATTTATCAACAGGATAGGACTTATAATGGAAATAGGCAACGTCTCTTCAAGGGACATTAACTGCTACGCGCCTATGGAGCTAAAGTGGATTTGTTACAATAATCCTCAACGGATGTAGTAATGTGGGGAGATAGTTCCTAACCCTTTCTAAGTCGAATGTAAGACTACAAAACTTATTTTAGTAATAGTTGGTACTCTTAAGGGAGCAGATACCACACATTTTTGGATATTCATTATTATAATAAATAAGTGTTTACTTATCCAACTCTTAGCAACTATTTCCTGATGTAGGTCTGATGTAGCATGCCATTTCCAGTCTTTTACATTACGTTAGTTTAGTGTTCCCTCAAACATGTTTAGAGTTATATGTTTTTAGTGCATCTTATAATAATCTTACAGTCGGGGATAATACTTTTAATGTATTTCAATATATTGCTTAATTTATTTAATTGTTATGATTTACGAAACAGTGTATCTTGAAATCGAATTCCAACAATATATCTTAATATATTTTGTTACTCAAAGTGATAATAAAAATTTTAAAAACGTTATTATTTGCATATAATTAAATAAAAGTTATAATTCACAGTACTGACTCATTAGGTCTTCGGCTGATATAACATTATTATTTTTGAACAAATTTCTGATTAATTTAATTTAATATTTACTTTTTATTTTTTTATTTTTTAACTAATATATTTTCAACATCGATTATCTAAATCGTTTATATTTTTTTTTTTACACAAAATTCAATTGACTTGAATCTATTTTAGTGCATCTTTAAGGACAAAATGGACAGAAACAATTTAGGGTGTTCTATTCATTTTCTATAACATTTTTAATTGAAATTTTTTAAATACTTAATTTTTAGTATATTTCGATATTTATTTAAGTTTAAAAAAAACAAATTTAATATTATTAAATTAAAATTGAACACAAAAAAAATAAAAAAATTTACTCACAGAGATATCTATTCTATGATTTGTCGCAGAAACGTGACTCGTGACAATTAGAAGTATAAAAATGAGTGATGAGGTGGCGAATAATGAAAATGACCCTAACCATGAGTCCGAAACAGAAGGTGACCAAGCTCAACGTATTGCGGAAGTCAATAATCGTATAGCTGAGCAGTATAGGGATATATTACAATCTCAAGCTAGAATGCAAGAACTTATAGAGCAAATTATAAATTTGCAAAACATGATTCGCAATGTGCGTAAGCCAGCTCCCGGGGGATAGCAAAAATGATATCCTGTCATTAAAAAATTTTACTTAATTTATTTTCTGTTAAATTATTTATATTCCCAATATTAATTGTATTATTTTGTAATCTTCATGTTAATAATAATGAAAAACAAAATGTACTAACCTTAAGAAAACACCGATGGTACAAATATGTATTCAATTAATCTAAAACAGTTTTTTTTTTTAAGAAAATATAACCTTGTATCTAGTTTGTATTTATTTATGCTGTATTATAAATATATTATAAATTAAATTCTAAGTTGAACTTAATTTGTTTTAAATCAAATCCCTGTCTAAAAAGATAGAACGCACAAGTTTATTTAAGTATAAGTTACTTAAGCTACTACAAAGCCATAGAATATATTCTTATTTTAGTGTTTATTAAGTTTTTAATAATAATTAAATAAGTGAAGAAATAAGTTTATTTTTAATATAGTTATTTTCTTGTTTCAGTGATGAAGCATATCTTATCTTATATGATTTCGAATATAACACTTTCTATATAAAGATATATGATAGTGGATTTCAGTAGATAACGACATAATATAAGAACAAAATATATACTGAAACCGGTTTTAGCTATTCTTTAAGTATATAGTTTGTTATTGTTTATTGGCCTATCACAATGAAGTGGACTATACAAAGATTGATAAAGGAAGCAACAAATGACCGATACAAGTGAGCAATTTTAACCAAAACAGTGCATAATAGGTCTACAAAGTGACCTCAATTTAAACGTTAGTAATATCGTAGGTCATTGCCATGATATTTTGAATAATGTTTAATCAATATCATAGTGTCGAAACACCATGGTTGATTTACACTAATGCTCTTATAAATGATTTCATTTCTATTATTATTATGACATGTTCTGTTCAATATATCTTTCCAATTTTGCCTATGTCCAATTTTGCCTATTTATATGTTTTTGATCAGCCTTAGGCGAAGTTCCTGAAAATTATTGCAAACTACCTTGTCAAGCTACTTCTAAATTTTCGGTGTAAAAAACTTTCTACTGCTATTTTGTATTATGATAAATAATTCAGTGGACCTAGTCACATTTTAACAGAATAGTTTTGCAGACCGTCTTAAATGAGTCCTGAACAATGTATCAGTACATATACTAGTATATATAATGCAACTTAATGGTTTTTCTTCTAAGAAAATTTTAACACTTTAAAAATATATAAAAAGACATTTAAACTAAAGAAATCTAAATTTTAATTTTAGTTCCAAAATATAGCATTTTATCTTAATACAAATATGCTTCAATTACAACTATTGACCATACTTACAATTATTAAGTATGGTATTACCCCCAAAACAAAAAAAAATGGATACGGAAATACATCTACTATTACTAGTTCCAACTGCTCTTTAACGCACAGAAGCAGATATGTTTACGAAGTCCACATTAACCAATAAACTTGAAGTTACAATTAGAGCCAGAGACCAGACTTATGTCGGTCGTTGGTTGATCGAATTCATTTTTACATATTCATACCTTTTGATAGAATCATCAATTCAATTCTAACAGAAGTTTACGTCTGTTTTTTCATTTAATTTTTGATAGAAACTTTAGACCTTTTATAAAGGACTAACTAAGAGGGCGTATTAATAAACCCACCACGCAAATAAATTTAACATTTTTTTATATTTAAATATGAATAGATCTGAATATTTTCTTTAGCTACCTTTGGAATCATGAAGAAGTTACTACCATACTTAATAATGCCAACAATTTTTTTACAGTAATAGAACAGTGGTTTCATATACAAATCAAAATAGAACAGTCATGCAGATTACGAAAAATAAATGACTAAGTCTCTACGCTGGTACAAGAATGTCTTATATATTAACATAAAAATTTTCTTAAAGTAATTAATAGTCATATTTATAACACTTTTGAGATATCACTTATCAGTTATCATTATATTTGATAGGGCTAGAATAATAATGACAAAACCAAGGCTATATTTATAACTCGAAAAAGAAGACAGCATCCTCCAAGAATGAGTGTTTGCGACACGGAGATACAAGGGGAGGATAACATAAAATATCTGGGGGTCACTTTTGACAAACGGTTCAATTGGCTTAAACATTTGAAATACAAACGGAATAGCTGCTCTAAGATTCTACATTTATTAAAGCCGCTATTTAATAATTGTCACTTCAACTTTAAAAACAGAAAGTTACTGTATACGCAAGTAATTAGACCTGCACTACTGTACGGATGTGTTACATATAGCAAAGCCTCAAATGCTACCTTAAAGCAATTACAGATAGCTCAAAACCTGGCTTTAAGAAAACTGTTTAAGATTCCATGGTATATTAGATCAACAGACATACATAGAGATCTTAGGATTGACTCAGTGAAAAAATATATCAGAGACAGAGCTCTAAAATTATTCACTTAAGTTGATACGCTACTTAACCCCCCCATAACAATCCTCAAGTCCACTTCTGGACTCTCAGGAAGATATGCTGATTTAAGGCCCATCATCAACTAAAAGACAAATAAATGATATGATTTCTTAGCCTAGTTAAAGCCTAGTGTGGGGTAGAGATAAACCCCCCAGGCCATTATAGAGTAAAAGTGCGTAATAGCACTAACTCAAGAAGAAGAAGAATCAAGAATAAAGAATATTTGAACTAAGAAAGTATGACATGTGATGTGAAAAGATATGAAATTTTTAAAACATAAAGCAGCCATTGTTTTCTATAATATATCAAGTTCAGTAATCGAAACAATCTGCCATTTATTATATTTTATTTTTTAACAAAATTCGTTTACAATTTTCCTGCCGGCAAAAATACTAAAATATGATATATTAAAAATTTTCGTTCACTCATTTGAGAAAAATTAATCCAGAACTAGAATTACATACAAGCACAGCAAAATGTCGAGGAGTGATAAAATTATTTTTCGAAAAAATTGTTTATCAGAAACAGTAAGTATTACATTCCGAAGAGTAAAGCAAAGTGCAGACTATGATTTTTGAATGTCATTTAAGTTGCGCTCTCTCTTGCGCAAATTTATTTGAGCAAGAATGCTCACATTCAAAGTACAAACCTTGTTTAAATTTAATATTTGTAATCCGTAGACTACATCAGAGAGCAAAGTGCAATGCAGTTCATCGGAAACTGACAAACCCACCACCTGTACACTGTCAGATAATAGCGATGAGTATAACTTGGCTGCTGATGAGCATGCAAACAATACTGATGCAGATCGGAATATGTGCCAGCATTCTTATCTACAAACTCTGGAACTCGAGCTATCGTCACAGGATGACAAGACAGCGTTTCAAATTGAAGTAATACAAAGAATAATAGATATGCACCATCAAGTAGCTAACTTAGAGAATAAAGTGCAAAAACTTGAGAAAATGGTGTCTACTCTTGAAACAGAAAAAATTAACAAAGAAAAAGTTGGTAAGCTTAAAAAATCTAATCAAGAACACCTAGGGTTTCTTAAAAAAGAAAGTCAAAAAAGTAATGAAGAAATAGAGCTTAGGAATAGGAATAAAATCACATACAAAACTTTTCCTTTTTCTACCTATCAAGATCAGCCTTTGGATGATCTCTTTATTCCAGACTTAAGTAAATGTGGCAAAAAACGTATACACTCACAGCTTGAATATGAGCCTGAAGTTGAACCTGAAGCTGAATCTGAAGAAGAACCTAAAGAACATAGTAACATTTATTTACAATACAAAGTACGTGAACTCAACTTATTAAATATGTCTGAAACGTCCCTTGCGCTTAACAAAGAATGGCCGGTTCAGCTATTTCCTTCGCTGTGGCCACAAAAAAATTTCAACGACAAGAAATGCGACTGTTTAAAGCAATTTCGTAAATAAACGAATGAGGTTGTTATGCTCCTTCCGTGTTCTTATAAAACATTAACATTACATTTTTTTGGCTCTGTTGGTGTGAAATGGTATCATTGAGACTAGGTCTTCAAACTACTATTAACGAGTAACGAGCGTAACACTATGAATTGACCAACTAACCTGGCAGTTAGGAGAAATTTGGAACTTGTGAAGGAAAGATGAATATGTAGAGATAAGATGGATCAGCAATGGGTATGAAACACTCATTAAGGATTTGCTTTGCAAGAGTGGACATTAAAGTTGTAACATCAGAATGAAGCAAGTAGGATTTATGTGTCAAAGCAGCTAAGGTAACAGTAAAGAACATAATTCTCTTCGTCATTTTTTATATAAGACTAATATTTCATTTCTGGATTACAAAATTTCAGTGTTATTCGTTTAGTTTGCAAATAATATAATTCATTTTTTTTATTTTGTCTAATTTTTATTGCGTATTCAGTTTCAATTATTCCCTTTCGAGATATTTTGAAAACTATATTCTATTGATATAGGAAACTAATCTAAATCTAAGGTATCGACTGATGAAAAGATCAAGCAATAGACAGTCGTATTTTTTGCAATAAAAATTTATTTGTAGAAATAAAAAGTCCTTCATTTAGCACTGCACATTAAATTATTTATTGGTGAATATTGTAACCGAGAGGTCTTCTCACTTGTTTCATTTTTCTGATCTTTCGCTGATTTTTCAACCAGAAAACTATCAATGTGAAGATGTCGAAGTTGTTTTTGGAGTTAATGCAAAGAGGTAGCCTTATGAAAATCATGTTCTGAGCACTTGAAACATTATATAAATATGTCATCCAACATGCAATCATGAGTTGGTATTCAGTGAGGTCTGATTCCCGAATATCAAACATAAACTGTGTGGACATCCATTTCTGTTTGTACAAGAAGCCATTGGTGATAAATGCATGATATAGAAGTATCTCAAGTAGAATAACGATTTGTTATAGGTTTGAACTTATGCAAAAGTGTGTTGATAATGGAAAACGATATAATACAACTAGAACTCGAACTAGAATTTATAGATGAAAGATATTCAACGCACTAATGAGCGCCTAACGCTATTTGATTGTGTCATTTTATTAGTAGTTTGACCAAGAGTTTTCTTTAGACAGACTATTCTTCAGCACACTCAATCTTAGTAATTATTTGGAATAGATCGCTTTTATTAGTTCAGCATCGTTTAGTACGCTTTTTTGTTAAAATTTTTTTTATTGAAAAAATTTACCTGCTTTGCTCTCTGCACAGATGAATAGTGACGACCAATATCTTCAGCAATTTTTCGTTGGCCTACGTCATCACTTACATTAATTTCACGTCTTTTATTTTCCATTGTAAAATTTTACTGCTTATATAAAAATATATTTTTTAATGATTAGTGCTTAGACTCTTGGGGAAGTCAAGTGATAATTAAAAATCATTTAATGATACATTTGTGCTTGCAAGTAAATTTAAATAAATGGTAAATGTAAATATTAAGAAGTGAACGTAGATTTTTTCTGCTTTAAAAATTGTTGCTTTTGCTTATAATTGTGTTTAATTTTTTTTCAAAGAATAACTGTTAATTTTTTATATTTGAACTTTATTGTTGTTTCTTTGGTTAAAATAAATCAGAAAACAAAAATCAATTTGAGTAAAAATTAAAAAAATTATGCGAAATTTAAGAAAAATTTTGTGGGTGACCGCAGACTTTTTCGGCTGTGTGTATGTATTATGCAGCAATCGGCACCAATATGAATCAATAAAGAGAATGTGTGATGTTACCCTTTCCTTTGATGTTATTATGCAGACTTTCAAAGTCTCAAATTACTTCCACTCATATCACCTTTCTTGTTGAGAGCAACATTTCCATTTCTTGCAGTACAGCATAGTGTACTATAGCAATCTACCAGATACATTTAGTTTAGTAATCTAGAAACGTATAAAGTAGCTTAAGCTAAAGCCGAAATATATCAAATTAATAACAGAACATGGGACTATGTTCTTACCGCGGAGAGGCGCATAAAATGTACTTGTTTTTAAAGATGCGCAACGACAGTTAAATAGAAAAAGTTTGCACGCCTGAAAGCGTTAAAGCCAAAGGATAATTCAAAAGTGATGTAAAGAAAAGAACACTCAAAAAAATGCTTGAGTAAATTTTATAAGTGAACACTTAAAACAAAAAGTTAAGTTGTTGAAAAAAATTTTTTTAAATAAAAATTGAAACCACAGGATCTAGTTAAGCGCGTGCAGTAGTGAACTGTATTGTGGAAGTTCATCATCAGCATATAAATAGCGACACTTGAAAAAATATTTGATAACGTTATCCTTGCGGTACTACTTAGAGTTTTTATTTCATTACAAAAACAATTCAGTTCATTTCATAAACTAAATATTTTTTTTTCAAATTATTTTGGTTCTTTTGCTTTAAGTTTTTGTTTTGCTAACATTTTTTCTTCTTTCTTCAAAGTTCAAAGTTAAATACTTGGCTTGCACCGCAAACTTAAATTCATCGGCATTTCCTAAACACACCCGCACACGCACTTAAGAAGTTGCACATAGAAGCAGCAGGAGTTGCATCTGCACCGACCCTTACACACAAACATTTCAAGCACAAAATGAGAAACGAGACTCGTTTTCGTCCTTTGGAGTTGCGGTTAAACTTTGGCGCATTGCATACTTCGCTTAAAAGACTACTTTGTGTGGATCACACAATGCGAAGAACTGCGCGTGACTCGATATGGAAAATCTTAAGCGTTACTTGCATGCAATTCGGATGCATTGAGTCTTAAGCCCGGATTTTTATTCATGTCAAGGATTTTTCGTGTTGTTTTTGCTTCGCTTATATATGCTATATTATTACATCTAATATCTTTATCGCTTTCCGTTTTCTGTTTTTGTTTGTTATATTATTTTCGTTCCTTTCTTAGCAAAAAGAATGCGCTGGAAACTTTTACAACGACTTTTCGGAGCAGTAACAAGCAGTTTTGTTACTGCATGCAGTAACAATGCTCTGTATCAATGCTCACTAATCCCATGTTCACTTCACTGTTTGAATGCGACGAGTGCATGATTAAAAGTTTAAAATTTCGGCATAAAGTAACCACACCAAAAGGAGCACAATAAGTTGCAACTTTCATTCTATATTCACAATGAGTTGTGAAATTCGTAAGTTTACAAGGTTTCTATATTTGCATGTTTCAAGTATACAGAAATTTGTATAAACAATGAAAATAACAATTTCAGTTTCAAAACTGTAAAAATATAAATAATAAATTTTGTGAGACGTAAAAAAACTGATATTACAATAAAAACTCTCTTAAGTAAATATAGGTTAAATAGATGACTATTAAACCGACATCTATTTGACCGATATAAAAATGCTGATCTCCAACAAACATCACATGCAGTATATCAATTTCAATGAACAGTTTCCCTAACCAATTATATAGTAAATGCACTTTAAACCGAATGATGCACTTGACGGTGCAATATTGCTGGATCCCACTTTTTATATAAACAAATTACTTTCATTTAAATAGAGAGTAATTTCTTCGCTTAAAATAGGCAGACTGATCAGTGTCTTTTAAACAATGCTGACTCATTAACATAATAAAAAGCTAGCTTTAAAAGAACTATAACCACAACAATAAGATTTTCCCCACTGATTCTGAGGGTAGTATATAAAATTTCATTCCAGTAATTAAAGGCGAGAGGTGAGAGTAATACTCAAAAGTCTAGGTTTATCAAAAGCAAAAAGCATGGGCGTAGTATAAGGCAGGAAGTCACCAGCCTTGTATGGTATAAGCAAACATTTTTTGAACAAAGTACAATTTCATATTTCAATATAGAACAGTCTAGACTTAACCAATATACCCATTGTATCGAAAGATTGCTGTCCTATAAAATGCATTCAAAATAGAAACTTTTTGACAACAAATTCTGCATTTAACCGAGAGTTCACAGTATTACAAAATACTTGTAGAACAAATATTGATTTCTGGAACCAAATAATTTTTAAAAAACAATTCCAGTTAACCGTTGGTAAAGCCACTTTTGATAATTTCAAAAAAGTATAAAAGCCCTCGTAATTTAAAAGCTTAACGTGAACTGTCAGTTAGTACAATAATGATCATCTAATTTTTAATACGAATTCCAAAGTAGCTTTAAAATATTGTAAGAGAAAAAACTAAAAATCATCGATGTGAAACTGTAAAGATAAATAAACTTCAGAAAAATAAATCAAAAGAACGATAGACTAAAGTTCTACTAAGCCACATAAAATATTATGCTGTCTTCGATAATCCGATGATTCAAAATTTAAAATTAAATAAACTACCATTTAAAACATGGAAATATTTCATAAAACATATTTAAAACTCAGTGAACAAAAAAAAAAGCTTAAAAACAAATAAACAAAGCAAGCAGGAGGCATTTAGACTTCTCTATAAAAACCGCAGTGTCTTTGCTGACGAGTTCCTGACGTCAAACATTAACATGCTTAACAATGCTTAATACACAAAATACTATAGTCTTCTATATTATATCAGCTATTAAACACCTATAGTACAAACAATATCTTGTTATATATCTTGTTAAAAATGGCATATTCAATTAACTTCTATACAAATGCATAGAAATTTCTACTTCTGGATATTTTCCACCTGCCTTTCGGGACACATTGATAGATTTTTAAGAAGTAGTGAACTATTGTCAAAGAGAATAAGTACAACTAGTATTGTTCAGACAAAAGATAATAGATATTATTCAGATCTGGAAATAGCCATATGTGTAACTAATTATTACGGTTATGGTCCAATCCCAGTCACGAGTTATTACGAATCATTCAATTATGTACAGATAGGTTGATAGACGAAAACTGATATAAAAACATGATGGGACACGGAATATGAAAAGGAACTACAGTGTAATCTATACAATAGAAAATAATAATATTGGCTAAATTAAAGCAGTTAGGTACTTGATTAGCAATTTGTAAAAATATTAAATAAATCTATTCATTCGTCTTTTTCAAAGATGAGTCCAAGCAATGTAATATTAATACATATAACTTATCTACCAACGTATACTATATGTATGTAGAAGACAATTATCTCCATGTAAATAAAGAAAATCCTTCTCTATAGCAATCATGATCGCATCTTGTCTTACAGGTTGATATGTCCAAAATGAGAATCGTATTCAACCTTCGTATTAGTTAGCTTAGAAGTGATGACATCGAAGAGGAAAACACATTTGTCTCTTGATATCAGACGGTAACATAGAGTTTCAATTCAATAACTGATATGATTTAATAAAAAATAAAAAATAAAATTAAATTTTTGAATCACAAAGCAACCGTACTTAAAAAAAAAATAAATTGTAAAATAGAAGCAACTTCTGCTTCATTATTTTTTATTTTTTAGTAAAATTGTGATATAATTTCCCTCTGGCAAAAAATACTAAAATACTAAAATATGACATTCGTTTAAATTAAATTTTCATTTACTCATTTGACAAAAATTAAACCAGAATCAAAATTGCATTGTAGAAGAGCAAAATGTCGAAGAGTGATAGCGAACACCGTTTACCGAGAAAGGTCAGTAATACATTTCTAAGAGTAAAGTACAAATCTTGTTTAAATTTTGTATATATAATCCATAGACTGCACCAGAGAGTAAGGTGCAGCGTAGTTTATCGGAAACTGACAAACTGGTAGCTGATGAGCAGGAAAAAAATGTTGATGATGATTTGAATATGCGCCATCATTCTTATCTTCAAACTGCGGAACTAAAGCTATCCTCACAGGATGACCATAAAGCATTCCGAAATGAAGTAATACAAGACATTATCGCTATACGCCGTCAAATAGATTACTTAGAGAAAAAAGTACGAAAACTTGAGGAAATGGTGTCTACTCTTGAAACAGAAAAAATTAACAAAGAAAAAGTTGGTAAGCTTGAAAAATCTAATGACGAACACCTAGGGTTCCTTAAAAAAGAAAGTCAAAAAACTAACAAAGAAACACAGCTTAGGAATAGGAAAAAAGTCAGACGCAAACCTTTTCCTTTGTCTTTCTATCAAGGTCGGCCTTTGGACGATCTCTTTATTCCAGACTTGAGTAAATGTGGCAAAAAACGTACAGACTCACAGCTTGAAGATGAGCCTGAAACTGAATCTGAAGAAGAACCTGAAGAACGTAGTAACATTTATCTAAGATACAAAATACGTGAATACAATTTATCATTTATGTCTGAATCGTCCCTTGCGCTTAACAAAGAATGGCCGGTTCAGCTATATCCTTCGCTGTGGCCACAAAGAAATTTCAAGGACCAGAAATGCGACTGTTTAAAGCAATTTCGTAAATAAACGAATGAGGTTGTTATGCTCCTTCCGTGATCTTATAAAACATCAACATAACATGTTTTTGACTCATTTGGTGTGAAATGGTATCATTGAGACTATGGTAAGTCTTCAAACTACTATTAACGAGTAACCAGCGTAACACTATGAATTGACCAACTAACCTGGCAGTTAGGAGAAATTTGGAACTTGTGAAGGAAAGATGAATATGTAGAGATAAGATGGACCAGCAATGGGTATGAAATACTAAGGATTTGCTTTGCAAAGGATTTGCTTTGCAAGAGTGGACATTAAAGTTGTAACATGAGAATGAAGCAAGTAGGATTAATGTGTCAAAGCAGCTAACGTAATAGTAAAAACAATAAACCTCTTCGTCATTTTTTATGTCAGGTTTAAATTTTCTTTTTGGATTATAAAATTCAGTGCAATTCTTTTCTTTTGTGAATAAAAGAGTTTATTTTTTAATATTGTCTCATCTTTATTGATCACATAGTTCGATAAATTTCGAAACATCTTTTGCATTCGTAATAGACACAGGGATTTAGTTTAACTAAATGTGATTGAAAACTTGTCTGATAAGAAGATCAATATCCGAATCAATCATAATTATCTAAATGTGTCATATGTCGTCGATGTTTAATAGATTAAATCAGTCAGCATGGCTTGACTGCGATAGCCATTCACTGTAACGGCAGATCCTTTCTAATTTCGTTTTCTTCTTCAACCCTTCGTGTTAAAGTAGCAAAATTCTTTTCCGTACACGTATTTCTTTGTTTTGTTATTGGTATTGAATTAAGAAGAAGAAAATTATTGCGAAATTGATCAATAACTGTTCGAATTGCTTGATCACTTGGCCGATTATATTGACCGTAAAATGGACAAAGTGCTTTATGAACTTGAACAAATTTATTTTTTCAAATTAAATTTCTACAATTTGGAAGAGTTGTTCTAGCGCTAAACGATTCATAATGAATTGTTGAACCTTACTGAACAGAAATGTTAACACGGTTTGACATTCTCAGCAGTCAAATCATAATTATCGATATCGATAGTTCTCATGCAGCTAAAAGGTACCCTATAATTACTACTTGTTTGAAGCAATTTTAGGTTTTTATTCTATCTCACAAGAAGTGATATATGTCTTTATAAATATTCAGTATTAAATAAAAGATTTTTTATACTAAACCTGTAAAATTGCTTGGTTGCTAGAGAAAATTTTTTATTTATAAGCAAAATATAGTTAATATATCTTGAAACTATGCTGATTCATAGAAAATTTAAAAATAAATTGCGGACATCTGAACATAAACTAAAATTTTTGTTTTAGTTATTTATTAACACAAGACGATTTAATACAGATAATTAAATGCTCTTAACATCATTTAATTACCTTATTAAATAATCGCATTATGAAGTGGCAAAATCAAATTCTTTTCTAATTACAATGGACACGTGAAGAGATAAACTACGCAAATCGTGAGCATCCCTAAAGGTGCATTGAATTAATTTTACATGAATGCGCTAAAAGGTGAACAAAAAATATAGATTTAGAAATTTTTTCGAAATTTGGAAATACGGAATTTTGACAAATATGGATGATTTAACGTTTACGAGTATAGTATGTGGAAGCGAGCGGACAAAAAATTTACTAATTTTTGCGCTTAGCGGAAAAATAAGTTGTAATGTGAACTTTTTAAAATTAAAGAAAAAGCTTAAAATTTTAAATTATTTACAGAAGGGAGAAAGTGTCACAAGTTATTAAAGCAATATAGTGTCAAAACACAACACATAGTGTTAAGAACATTCGAGCCCCCCTAAATGAAAGAAATGTCATTACCGATGATTCATCCGCATGGGTCACAGGCCAATAATTAGCTTATCCATGAAAGCCAAGGAACTGAAGTTAAAAATTAAAGGAAATTAAACTTTTTTAAATGCTATTGTATAAAATCAACATCTGGAAAAAATTTTAGACATTTTTAAGGTTTGGTATTACCATTTACTTAACCACAGATGAAGGTTTGTTTTATTTTATTTTCAAGTCACATGTTTTCTCATAGAAAAGGATGTACCAATAAATTCCTTGCACTTAATAGACAATGTCCTTTTCCACCCACCTTATGCATAACTCAGAACAGAAGAAGGAAACATCATTCTGATGTTCATGCTCCGAAAGGCAACTGCCCTTATGAGATCAACAGCTGAAAAGTAAACTTATTTGCTGAAATCAATAAGAAAACTAACGATAAATAATGATATATGAGACTTGGGATCGACTCAGCTCAGAAATTCTTACTAAATGCTAAACAATTTGCTAACAAATATTTAAAATAATGATTTTGAGCAAAATAATCCTTTAATAGTTGCAATGGTGACTTAGGATAGCTCTTTTCAAAACCTTGATTCCACAAGTATTTCTATTTAAATATCATAAAAAACATTACTAAGCTTGAATTCCTTTCGTAATTACTAATTACTTGAATTAACATCAACAATTGTGCAAGAATGGAATAAGTACATTTCTCCGAATATAGAGGATAAAATTAAATGGAAGATGAGGTACACATATTAATAAATTTTACGAAGTTAAAACCACTTATAGCAAGACATTGGAATGCATTAAAGCTGAAAGCATTGGTTCAAATGACATACATGTGTTGAACTGCCTACAAGTAAAAGCAATAGAAAAAAAACAGAACAGAAAAATATTATTAATATAATACATATATAATATTTAGTTTCTATCAAATGAAAAATAATTCAAAACTATAAATCGCAATTATTTTGTTTGTTTTGATGTACATAAGCAAACCAAATAAGATTTCTCGTAAAAGTAAATACTTTACAAAGGTACCCATTTCGAGTTTTCACTGTAATAGATTTCACTGTTATTGTTGGTAGTACACACTATTGATTCAATAAAATACAGTCTAAAAAAATTAAGTAAGTACTCTTGTATTTCACACATTTATATAGTTTATGCTTTAATATAAACAATAACCAAAGTGCCAGGTTACAGCAGAATTGTGCAGTGACTCTCCATACACTTTGTACTTATTTAATTATTAACATTTAAAAGAGACTATAAACTTTTTGTTTAGCTTTACCATATTTTAAAGTTTTGAAATTAAGTCCTAGCTGTGCCTATTTCATTTAAAAATTTTTTAATTTTATTAAAATCGGATATTATAATATGATATAATGATCATTCCTGCGAGCTCTATTTCAATTAAATAGGAGAACATTTTTGATTAAGAGTTATATATGCATGGATAGTGAAGTAACAATAACTTCACAATTTTATTTGACTAAATAATTTAATTCTTAAGAGACTTTCGTGTTGATGTTGCAGTACCACAATGAAAAACTGCAACCGAATTTTTTTGTTTTTTGCAGTAGGTGGAAGGCATCGAAAGCCACAGTGAGACTTGAATCCACTAAAAGCACCACTTCGGAATGACATGTAAGATTGCAGCGGATGCAATCCAATACCAGTAAACTGGGAGGTAGGTTAGGGTAAGAGGCTTAATACCTAGCTAACTAGATTCATCTAAGTCTGAAAGCATAGGCATGAAGTACGGAAATTGGACTGACTCTAACTGTATTGTGTACGCTCCTTAAGAACCCTTTTGAAACAAGAATTTCTTAAGAATTCGAAGAATTTCACGTGTGCTTGCATATTATGCTGCCACAGAGTATATTCACGTAAATAGCGATCTGTGAATTTTTGTAAAAATTAGATTATAGAACACCACTTCTCAACCAGTTTCTCTCACTTTCTTCTGTAGTTACTTGACTAACATATGTTTTAAAGTCATTTAGTATGAGAGATTTATTAGAGTAATTTAATGGTTAATTATTATTTATATTATAATAGAAATAATATGTTAGCCTTTCTTGTGGCTATTAGAAAAGGTGTCAGAATTTTCGATTCCAAGATTTTTATGTACGGAACATATTACCTGCATATCGTTCAAATTGGAATTATCCAATTCATGCTATAAAGTCATGTTTTTGTAGAGTTATTTACAGTAGTTCTAGTACCATTTTAGCTTTCAAAAAAATACGGATCAACTACACCTACAGGCTATATCTCACCATAAAGCAAACTAAACTTAGCATTTAAGAATATAAACGACTTTTATTAAGAATTTGTAGGTTTTCTTTACTTTAAATGCAGTGATTTTGTCAATTAACGAAACCATTTAACCAGAATGAGATGTGGATGATTTTTCTACATTGAGACGAACAATGGTTTTTATTCTTCTCATCACAAACTTACTTATATAGTTGGACATAATCCATTATTGGGCTTCGGTTTAATATGAAATTTTGATATTTTAATGTGAATAGTAATTTAGTTTTATTTAAAACTTCAAAACTTTATAGTACTGATTTGATCACCCTGTGCATAAAATACGAAAAAGATACTTTAGTGTCCTCAGTTGATAAATCATAAACAAAAATACTTAATAAAATAACTCAAGGATATGTAACGACCTCAAACAATATTTAATACTGTGGCCAGTACCCATTTAAGTTGCTCTTATTTAGTGAAGCGTGGACAAATGCAAACAGCATTCATATGCCAAGTTACAGTATAAAATCATTGACTTTAAATACCATTTTAGCATAAATTATTTATAAGAATACGAAAAAAGTTAATGTGCTCCATTCAAACTCAAACAATAAAAAATGAAAAATGTGAAAACTGTGATGGAGCGTAGCAATAGCCCTTCAATAAGGGTTCGTTATGTGACTTGTACACTTTTAATATATTTACTTTTAGGATCATAAACTTAATAGATCATGGAGTTAGAGCATGCCCTGTGAAGGTTATAAGTATTTGTCTTTATTTCGAAGGAAAAGAAAAGAAGGAGAAGTCTGTTATCCTTAAGTCGTACTGTACACATGGTCTATATAGCCTACTGGTTTGTTGTGCGACCCTAAAAACAGAGAATGAAACACATGAGCATCTATGAAATACAACTAAAGCATTTGTACCGGAATTACGCCTGATTTATGTCAAATTTAAGTAACAAAAAAGCAAAAAGCTAGAAAAATACAAGAAGCTACTGAGGCAGTACGAAAATATGCAAAACTTTTGTACGAAATTTGAAATTTTATTTTTTGTTTCTTGTACTTTACGTAGCGTAAATATTTTGCTACAAATACGATTTCTTCTGCCTCGACGAGGATAGCAGATCGAGACAAGCATAAGCCAGAAATGTGCCTCAGGATGAATTGCTAAGATTTTGAAAGTCATTCCAATACAAACATGCATAAAGCAAGGATATGCTATATGTGCATGTGTTGCTAAAACAGCATCCGCAGATAAGATTTATGTCAAATGTTAGCAAAGACAATTTAACATTCGTGGGTGGTGCCGGCGACTTATGCGCAATAATCACCCACAAAAATACCTG